TATATCCATCCTCATACCTAATTTAATAAGTTGAATATTATGTACAGTCTGTCAAATCATATATTCCTCATCAAAGTCAAACAAATTTTGGTATTACCTATAAATATAAGTTTACTTGTCATCCATATATATGCACACACACACATACACATATATCATATCATATCAAGATTTGCAAAACTTAAAAATCTTAAGTTGCCGATCAAGTAACAACTAATTGTATAAAATAACCTCCACCAAACAAGTCATCTCCAGCATGACACAACATCTTATTTACCTTTTGGCCTAATTCTACTTTCATAATAAATATGATCATCAGAGTCCAACAACATAGAAAAATAAGAGTAAACTTGTATGCAAAGAAAATAACATAATATAAAAGTCATAAGCTAACTACATAAACAACTCCATCACATGAATACAACTTCATAACTACGCAACTTTGCCACACAACTTTCAGCTCAACATTCAACAATCTACACAACCTTCAACAATATTTTTATTAAACAACACTCTAATAAGTTATAAAACTTAAAAACATGTCAACATCACAACTTAATAACACAACATTTAGCAACATATAATTTTTTTTCAATATTTCAATTAACAACCCAACATTTTATAACACATCTTAATCAACACTACAACTCAATTGATAGCACAACGATACATTTAACAACTTATCAACATAACAACACAACAACTTAGTAACACAACACTTTGGCAACACAACAACACATTATACAACTTATCAACATAACATCTTAACAACACAACAAAGTTATATGTAGTCATGCATTTCAACTATCAGATTTCTTATAACAAAGATGAACAAACTAAGTGACTTGACCTTATCAAACCAACACAGCTTTTCTTACTTCCTAGGTCAATAGTAAAGTTGGATATCAATCCATTTTCAACACATGATTTCTCAAATTTTGCCACTTATGTTAGAAAAGTTCAATACCAATTGTTAGGTATATTATAGTTTGAATGTGGGCCTGCCACAATACTGACAAGTATTAACCAAGTTACATATGAGAATAATTTGTTAATTATCCTTACGATACCATGCACCCTTCTAATAATTAATTAAGAATTTTATCCCTCGATTTCACACCTTACTCAATTTGATTACTTTTAAACTAGTATGATTTGACCTTACCTCTATACGATATCAATTAAGGACTTAGAGGAGACTCAACGCTTCACTTCAAGAAGCAACAAATTCAAGAAGTGTTTTTCAATATTTGGTCTCTTAGAGCACTATAATAGATATCTATACAATGGGATATTTTAATTTTTTTAAATATCACTCCTCTAGTCCTAAGTTCACAACACAACTCAACAACACAACTCAGCAACATGCATCATCAACATAGTTATATAACACAACTCAACATCATGCACCACTAACATGGTCACACATGACACAACTCAGCAATATAGATTAACAACACCATACATATCTTATTAAATTTAATAATTTATTAAATAAGTCATTGAAATTACAAGTCTTAAAAGAAATCATTGCTTCAACCTCAATTGGACATGCTTCAAGCGAGCCAAATTCACTCCAAGCACCCAACAACTCATTTTAAGCAAGCTAAGATAAAGGCTACGCCTGAGAGATAAAGCTAGCTTGCTTTAGCAAGGAGAATACTCGCTTTGAGTGAGTGAAATTTGCTTGGAGTCACTAATTGAGCACTTCAAACGAGTCAAGGAAGAAACCACCTCTAAAATGATTGAACAAGCTTGTTTAAGCGAGTCACATTGACTCTTTAAGCAAGCATACTCTAATAGATATGGCATACTTCATACAAAACACACATCTAAAACAAGCTTCATCAACTTAAACATTTCATGCTTCATTTAAACAATTTCAATCATCAATCCATATCAACACAACATGAATCCAATAAATCAACATATATACATCAATAAAAACTTAGATTCAACAAAATAAACAACATGCAATTATTACATGATCCAAGATAATTAATTCTCCTTAAAAAAAAAACCATAAACCTAAGCAACAAGGTTTTTCACTTCTCAATCCAACATCAAAGCCGGGAAAATCAACGCATTAATCAACACAGATAACACAAAAAGATCAATTTACAAACTTTCTTTACCTAGAATTCATAAGAAACAAGGAAAGAAAGAAGAAAACTCAAAGAAGTCCAAACTCTCATACGAGAGCTTCTCCTTTGATTCTTAACTCTTCAACTTTAAATCTCTACTCAATTACAACAATCTATTTCCTGAAGAAGAATAAGAGAACTTCCAAGAAGTCAGAAGATAGAAAAATCTCCTTTAGCTCTAAATTCTATTTTTAACATCTTTTTTAAAATCTCTAAAAAAGGAACTTATGAAGTTCAACTCTTCAAAGAATCTTATATATTTTCCTCAAACACCATCAACTTTGACCTCAATATAAATCAATCTCAAACAATTAAACTTTTAAGAATTTATTTAATCCTTAAAGTTTTAAAATATTAAAATAACACATCATCAGTAATCATTAAATATTAAACTTTAAAATAAATAAACAATTTAATACGGTGTTATAATTAACCTTAGGAGGGAATTATGTACTTGTGTATTGAGTGTATTAAAATTATAAATTCTTAATCTGGAGATATTTTCCAAAATTTATGACATAAATACATATAACCCTAATTAATATATATATATATATATATG